GGCGTCCTGACCAGGCAGGCGTGCGCACCCGGAGTGCGGTCGGGCCGGGGGGCGGGCTCCTGAGGTTGAGCTGGAGTCTTTAGCTTATCCGCGGCGACGAAGCTATGCATCGACATCATCTCCTCGGCCAGCTGCACGAGCTCGCCCTTTTCGACGCGCTCCTGCTCTAGCAGAGTCCGCAGCTCCGCCATTGTCGTCGCGGATCGTGTGCATCATGGCCTCGAGCTTGTCGACCTCCGCGCCGAGGTGCCGGATCTGCGCGGCGTCACGGACTGCCTGCGCCTTGCGCTCCTCCTCGGCTGCCTGCTCGGCAGGATCAACGCGCGTCATGGTCGCATCCCGTCCGAGGCGCAGGCGCTCGTTCTCCTCGCTCACATCCTCGAGCCTGGTCTCGAGGTCGCGGACCCTCTTCTCCCAGCGACCCTCGTAGCTCTTCTTCAGCGCCGTCACCTTGGTCTCGTGCTTGCTCTTGTACAGAGCGTGCAGCTCACGGGCCACGCGCTCGACGGCCATTTCGACCTCTTTCGAGGCGTCCTTGGCGCCGGGGCTCCTGCTCTTGTCGGATCTGGCACTGTCCTCCGACGCCCTGCCGGCGCGCATGCCGGCGAGCTTGCTCTCGGCCTCCTGGGCCATGTTCTCAGCCGCCTCACGGCGCGCCTCGCTCTCCGAGAGCTTGTATTCCAGCTCTTCCGTCTCGCGTTGGCTGCGGACAATCTCTTCCTTGACGCTGCGCAGCACCGTCTCCATCTCGCGGCTCCGTTTCTCCCAGCCCTCCTTCTCGGCGGTCAGGTGCTCCTTTTCGGACGACATCTCGCGTACCTTCTCCATGCACTCGCCGACACGCTTCTCGGCGTCGCCGACCGCCGTCTTAAGGGCAAGGGCTTCCGCCTCCTTGCCACTGAGGGACGCTTTTGAGGCTGCTGATCTCCGAGAGGAAGCTCGACTTGAGGCTCTCGAGCTCGCGCGGCGTGATGTCGGGATGCTGCGCGGCGGTGGTAGCGGGGAATGTCAAAGTCGAGCAGGTTGCCCATTCTGCCGCGCCGGAGTGGCGGGGACGGCAGAACCGGGGCCGGTCGTGATTCTCTTCCCGGGCGACTTGCCGGGATGGCGCTGGTGTTCGGTAAAGTCCATGAGGAGGTTTGTCGTGTTGCCGGACGAGTCTGGGTGGTAGGACATGGGGCGTTGTGATCTCGCGGGCGAGGGGCCAGGGCGACCCCGGGGGGTCATGCCGTCGTCTAGGCCGTTTGTCTTTGGCGGGCTGTTGCCTAGCCGCGCAAAGGTCGTCAGGTTGGGCACGGCGGAAAAGGCACTGAAGGTGCTCGTCATGGTATCGTCAGGGCCAACCGAGTCGTCGTAGGCCACCTCGTGATGGACTTCCGTGTCGTCGCCGTGGTCGTCCCTGTCGAGGCGGTCGGTCGCGTCGGGCGACGTGTCGTGCGCCCGACCAAAGTCGTCGACGGTGTCATCCTCAAAAATGTCAATGGCGTGGCTGAGACCCTTGTTGCTTCGCAGGGCGTCATCGAGGCTCATGGTGCGCTCCCGCATGTCTGGGCGTTCGCTGGGGGCATCACTTGGGCTCTTGTCGGCTGTCTCGCTGATGGGGTTGCTAACCCGGACGGGGAACCGCTTGTCGGGGGACATGAGGCTCTTGCGGGAGCCGCGGGCTGGGGAGAACTGGCGCTCGGGGTTCGGCTCGCCCGTGGTGAGGATTTTGAGGGGGGAGAGTTCGTTCCCAGACATGATGCGCGAATGGCGCTGCTTGGGAGGTGACATGTTGTTCTCCTTCCCAAACTTGAGCTGCTGCTTGTGCTGCTGCTTTTGCTGCAGGGGGCTGTCTTCGACGGCAGCCGTGGCGTGACGAGTGCTCGAGCTGGAGGCGTCGATGTCGATGCCGTTGGGGGAGGATGTAGAGGGGGCTGCGGTTGTGGTTGTGGTGGCAGTCGTGGTGGATTGCTCCGTGTAGGCCTGAACCTCGTACCGTGACTGGTCGTAGCGACGGGTTGTGGGCGGTGTAGCGATGTTCAGGGATGAGGGTTTCGCTGGGGACAGCGGCGATGCCATGGTGGTCGGTACAAGGCAGAGGGTGATGCAGGACGCCGTGTGTTGGAGTGTGTTTTCAAGAGTGGAAGCATATGCCAAAGGATGAATGAAGAAGGAAATGGCTCTGTTGATGTTGTTCGAAATAGAATACGAACTGAATTATCAGTTCCATAAGGCAATGCAAGGCAAGGCAAGGCAAGGCAAGGCAAGGCAAGGCACCTCAGGTACCTACCTAAGGTACGGTACCTTACCTAGGTACCTAGGTAGGTGCCTGTCCGTCTACGTCTCTACCAGCCCCCAGCGAGGTGGTCCGCCCCCCCCCGTGCCGTCCCTCCAGCGACTGGAGTGCCCTGAATAGGCCCGTGGCCAGCCCATGTCAGTGGCCCGTGGCAGAAAACAGCACCTCCCAGCGCATCGGCGGGCATGTAAGGGCCGTTGACCCAGTAACCGCATCCGCACACGATGCAGGTACCGCAGGCACTGCCACTGGCGACTGGCCACGTCTGGGTCATCCCGTCCCTCCGTCATTTGCCCCACAGCAGCACCCTGCTGCAGAGAGCGAGGGGGAAAACAAAAAGAAAAGCATCGCAGCACAGGATAGGGGCAACCAACCAGGGTGGCTGACCATGGTTGGAGCACCATGCATGAATGACAATTAAACTCAAAAAATGATTCAGGGGAGGCTCGAACTCCCGACCTTCAGTGAACTCTGCGGAACAGATGTTAGACTGACGTGATAAACCAACTACACCACCGAACCGACGTAAAGGGGATTTGGCTGTGTACATGATAGTCCCAAAGCGGCGTGCGACTGTGAGATATGACAAAGGTGTGCGCCATTAAATCCCGCTCCCAGGCATCAGGAAACGGTGCTTGGAGCCTTTCCTTCAGCAAAATCACAAGCAACTGCCGGAAAATAGCCAAGGGACAGGACTCACACCAACAGCTGGCGGCACGTGCCGGACCCTCCCACAAACCCACAACCACCAGCTTGGAACCCGCGTCATTTGCCAATATTCGTTCGTGCATGGGGGTGGGCGGTGGGTTCGAAAAAAAAACCAAGGGAGCATGCATCTGGGACATGGGCCTGCAGGGCGAGAGTAACAGGGCCGCAGCGATTTCGGCCGTCGGCCCAAATGCCCAGGCCGACTTCACAGACATCACACACACAAAGACATTGAGCAGCCGCCTCATTGGTACATGGTGCCACGGCACCAACCCACATGAGCTACGGTGCGACATCACGCGCTGATCATTCAAGGGACGGACAAACAGACAAACGATGATGAAAAAATAAAGGGTTGGTGACGCGAAAAGCATGGATTGAGCGAGCTCAACGGATATCAAACTTTTGGGGAAGCCCAGATTCCCAGAAAAGCCGCCGAGCGCACAGCATAGAGTACACGATCCCCCCGCATAAAAAGCCCAAGTTCCCAAGCAATGAAACACTTCTGACAGGCCCTTCCCGCGCTGCCCCGCGGGCCAATCATGACGCACTGCTTTACTTCTGGTTCTCGGGACGCAGAA